TCTAATGATCTATAAATTTAATTTTATGTCAACTATACGTTGTCTTGATTACTGTAGTGGTGTTTTCGGTTTTTAGTTTTGTTTTGTTTTGTTTCGTTTGGTACCAGGGATTGAACTCAGGTCCTTACATGAGCGCGAGGTGGGCAGCAGAACCATTGAGCTAAATCCCCGGCTCTGATTACTGTAGTTTTGTAACACATTTTGAAATCAGGAAGTGAGAGTGCCTAAACTTTGTTCTTTTTCAATACAGTTTGGCTGTTACATGTACCTTGTATTTTCTTATTAACTTTAACATCAGCTTGCCAGTTTCTGCAGAAAGCCAGCTCCAATTCTGGATTTGTAATCAGTTTGTAGAGCATCTTCATTTAACAAATTTAAGTTTTCTCATCTGTGAACATATTTTTTATTTATTTAAATGAAATTTTCATTTATTTAAAATATTCATTAATTTCATTCAACAATGTTAGCAGTTGCTTAGCAGGGAGAGCAGGACAACATGAGATTTCACCATACTGCCCAGAATGGTGCAATTTAAAACTTATGAGGTGTTTATTTCTGGAATTTTCCAATTAACATTTTTAGGCCACAGGTAACTAACACCGTGGAACATGCAGGACCACTGCTCTGTTTTAGAAGGTTTACTTGTAGGAGCTGGTGCTAAGAGACAGTTTTGGGCAAGTGACCAGGGCTAGATGATGAAGAGCTCACCCAAAGCCTCTTCTCACAATTAAACTGTGCCTCAAGAGTATCCAGAAAGCATTGAAGGGTTTTAAGAAGGGAATTTAAGAAGAAGGCATGAAATAATCTGGTTTGTGCCTGTACAAAAATTACAGTACTGGTTTAGACTAAAGGCCAGAAAACTAAGAACTATTGCAGTAACTCAGGAAAAATGGTGCACTGGATAGTGTAGAGGCAAGATATAAGTAGAGAGATTCTGAAGATATTCTGGTGATAAAATTAAATACTAGGGAAGAGTCATCTGGCAGAATCATCTCACAGGAAAAGCATTGCAGAGCAGAGCTGCTCACCTTATGGCTGCCAGAAAGCAGAAAGGAAATGAACCAAAGCCCAAAGGAAGGAGCTGGGGACCAAACACAATCTCCAAGGTCATGGTCCCATGATCCACACCTGCCAACCATGTCTCACCTCTTTCTTCTTCTACTTCCCAATAATGTCAGAACATTTTGATCTTATCAATGAATTAATCCACTGATAAAGTTAGAGCCCTCATGATCCACTTGACTCCTGAAACACAGACACACCCAGAAGTGTGTTTTACTAATTTCCTAGACATTTCTCAACCCTCAGTCAAGTTGACAATCATTGTGAACCATCAGGAATATAGGAGAAATAGTTGAAAAAAATAATGAATTTTGTTTTGGAGATACTGAGTTTGAGGTACCTGTAGTACATCCAAAGGGGTATTTCCCTTAGGTAGTTGGATTTGATATCTAGAGCACAGATGATCCTGACTGGATCTGTATGGTCGGTCGTCTTAGATATTATATGTTCATTGAAGATATGGCAAGGGATAAATTCATTCATTCAATAATACTCATTTATCAGTTCATAGTGTACATTTAGAGATGGCACACATAACTCATCTTTACTCTCTAAAACCACCTCTGTTTTGTATTGCTTTTTACCACTCTTTCCTTTAATTTCACCCTTCTTTTACGCCAACAATAATTTCACATAACCTTATTGTAAAGGTACTAGCTCAGTAATCTCTTCTTACTCATCAGCTTCTTATCCTTCACTTACTCGTGTTTTTAGCAAGATATCTTCTTGCAAAGATAACATTTTATTGTTACTATAATACTTGTTTTGATTTTAGTGTCTTAAAGACTTTTATACATGATCCTCTTGTGGAGTGGAGTAAACCAGTAAAAGGACATTCCAAAGCACCACTGAATGAAACTGGGGAAGTTGTCAATGAAAAGGTTAGTAGAAGATGCAGCTTGATATGAACTAATACTGTATTATCTCTACAAATAAGAACTGATTCTAAATACTGTCAGTGACTGAATATTGATTATTCTGAAATGTAAGGTTTTTTAAATTGTCACTAACATTTTTAGCATTTGTATACTAAACAGATTAAGCACATTTGTTTAATCATAGGCAGCTTACAATTAAGAAATAGTGCAGTAACCTTGAACAAATTGCCTGAACTTATGGCCATGTTGGAGCATTGAAATAGTGATAGTACTATGCCACAATCCTTGAGAAATGTAGGAGTTTAATCTCTACTATGAGTAGTGGAGGCTTCATTTTACTCAGTTACTTTTGTGGGGTTTTTGTTTGTTTGTTTTTTGGTACCTGGGCTTGCACTAGGGACCTTGTGCTTTCGAGGCGGGTAGTGGAACCACTGAGATAAATCCCAGGCCCCTTTCAGTTACTTTTAATTAGTTAGAATAGATTGAGGATTGGTGGGCTGGCGATTTACCTCAGTGGCACTGCACATGCCTCACAAGTGAAAGGTCCTGAGTTTGAAACATAAATAAATTAATTAAATTAGATTGAGGATTGGTTTGTTTTGGAGGGGTTTTGGGGTTTTTTTTGTTTGTTTGGTTTTTGGTACTGAACACAGGCCAGGGTCTTATATATACTAAACATATGACCTACCACTGAGGATTGTTTTTCTAATAACATCATTCTCACTTTTGCATTTTGATGTGCTTTTTCTTAAAAACATAAATGTGTAAAATTCTAAGTACACTTAGATGATCTGCTTGCAAGAATGTATATTATAATGCAAACATCAGCATTGTTGCCATTATTAGCGTTCATTCAAACATTTAAGTTCTGAATACTTTCAAGCCTTATTTGTTTTGTTTTGTTTTTCCTATGGTGTTGGGAATTGAATTCATGGTCTTATACATATTAGGCAAAACCCTACCACTAAATTACACCTCAGCCTTCAAAAGAAACATTTTAAATTATTACTTTTCTGGAATTGTATACAAAATTCCTGGACATTTCTTGTAGTCCAGAAACATGTCCAGTCAGTTCATGGTAAATCAGTATCTCAAGGCCCAAATCAGTATGTCAAGTTATTAGCTTTTTAAAAAAATTTGGGGGCTGGGGATTTAGCTCAGCGGTTCTGCTGCCTGCCTCAAAAACACAAGGACCCGAGTTCGATCCCCGGTACCAAAAAAACAAAACAAAACAAATAAAAAAATTTTTTTTTCCTGTGGCTGGGGAATTGCTCAGTGGTGCCAGGTCACAAGCCAAGGTCCCAAGTTCAATTCCGATACCCCCCCCCAAAAAAAATGGTTGTTTTTTTTTTTTCTTTTTCTGTATTTGGTCCTCTAAAAGGGTGTTGCCTTACCAATATTTACTAAATATCAATAAAGGTAGAAATTTCAAATTACCAAAACTATATGTTATTGGGTGCTTAGCCTAATAACTTTCTATTTCATTTTAGGCCAAGACTCATGTTCTTGATATTGAGCAGCGACTACAGGGTGTAATCAAGACTCGAAATAGAGTAACAGGACTGCCATTATCTATTGAAGGACATGTGCATTACCTTATACAGGAAGCTACTGATGAAAACTTACTATGTCAAATGTATCTTGGTTGGACCCCATATATGTGAAATGAAATTATGTCAAAAACATACTAATAATCAAATGAATGCATTTGTTTGATATTAATCTGTGTTGTATCTATTCATTTCTAAAATAAATCCTATGCTAGGTGTGGTGGCGCACACTTGTAATCTCTTTACTTGGCCTGATTGAGGCAAGAGGATTGCCTCATGTTCAAGGCCAGCCTGGGCTACTTAATGATACCCTATCTCAAACAAAACAAAACAAAAAAACGTAAATAAATATTCTTTAACTATTTTTTCTGTTGGTTCTGGGGATGAACCCAAGACCTGAGTCCTCATACATGTTAGGTCTGCCTTCTACCACTGAGCTACATTCCCAGCACCAGTATTCTCTTATTTTAAAGATGCTGCCATACTGTGGGTGTACCAGAATTCACAATCCAGTAGTAATGGAACACAGCAATATTTACAAATTCCGGGCCGGGGCTTAAGCTCAGCGGTTCGGTGGCCTGCCTTGCAACCGCAAGGACCCGAGTTCAATCCCCAGTTCCAAATAAATAAATACATACATACATACATACATACATAAATTCATTCATTCATTCATTCCATGAGAGTTTAACTTTTTAAAAAATTAAAAATGTTAAACTCTAGGCCAGGGATTTAGCTCAGTGGTTCCGCCACCTGCCTCATAAGCGCAAGGTCCCGAGTTCGATCTCCAGTACCCCCCAAAAAAACTGTAAATTTTCTTGCAGATTTAAAATAAAGCAAAAATAACTATAAAACAATGCAATTATTACATTCCAGGAAATGGGAAACTATGCATTTTGTGTATGGTTGAATGTGATGGGGAATAACATAAGCCAAAAAGCATGAATATAAAACTAAAAATATAATTTCCTAAATAGGAATAAAAAGAAACAAGAACAAAATATATAATTTCCTATCAAGGGCTTACTGTTAACAGTTAAAGGAGGATAGGAGGTTATTTTTCAACCATCTGGCAAAGAACGCTTTGAGGGTGGGGATGGGGTTGAAACGGTCTGGTTTTGTAGTTCAGACTCCCCTTTAACCCATGGTGTGATGTTCCTGCTTCAGCCTTAGGAGTCCAGGATTAACAGTATGCCACACGCCCAGCAAGAACTCTTTTAAAGGAAACGTTGGGGTAGATTTACATTCCTCAGAGGAAAATAAACCCCCATCCCAAATTAATTCAAATAAATCAGACCTTTCCAAATTTGTTTAAAATAGATTCGCATTCTCAGGTGGCAGCAGCCAGGACAAAAATCAGTAAGTACCCTTCTGACAACCCGTAGTTTTCGTGCCACTTCCAAATCCTCAGTGCTAGAAACGCATTTTCAGAAGTAGGTTTAAGGCGGACATCCAAAGCCTCTCGGATCTCGGAAATATGAGCGAGGCCAGGGGAGCCAGCAGCGGCGGGGTGGACACGATAAACCCCGCCCCGGGACGCGTCCGCGGAACCTGCCGCTCTAGGCCCCACGGACGCTCTCTATGGTCGGGCGGGCTGTGTGTTGTCATCGGCGGAGCGACGGCCCGAGGCGGCGGCTCAGGCCCGGCGGGGCGTTTGGTTTCGTCTTGGCCCTGACTGGAATTGGTGTTGACGGTCGAGATGGGAGTCCCCAAGTTTTACCGGTGGATCTCGGAGCGGTACCCCTGCCTCAGCGAAGTAGTGAAAGAGCATCAGGTGGGTGACCGTGGGGCAGCGGCTCGGAAGGCCTTGAACCCGGGACTCGGTGCTGCTCTCTGGGACTGGAGCCCCTCTGATCGTCTGCGGGTGAGAGGCGGACAGAGTGGGCCGAAGGCTTGAGGACGCCTGGGACCCGAGTGGGGCCACAGACAGGTTCAGCTTCTGCAGGGCTTGCCCAGGTCTTTACAGTTCTGCCGCGGCAGGGCCTTCCGCAACTCCGGACGAGCCCTGGGTAGGAATGCTTTTAATTAGCTCCCTCTTCTCCTTCCTCCCAGCGACCTGCAAGTTGCCTTTCCCTTACCCTGGATGCGGAGCTGGACTGGATGCCAGCTTAGGTCCCCAGGCCACCCCATGCACCACAGCTTCCTACGAACAATACCAGCAGCCTCCGCAGTGCAATCGCCGTGTTTACTCCTCCTTATCAGGGGCTGCATCCCACCTCATCCCTGCCTAGGCTTGTTCACGTGGCTGATGGTTCAAATGTGTGATGCCTTTTGATGCTCTTTTTTCAGTCCCAAAGACTGTCCCGATCTCCTTTGACCAAAACAAACGCACACACACACACACACTTGGACGGGAGGGGGAGTTGGGAGACTTCGATGTGTCCACTAGCGCGAGAACATTACTACTACTACTTCTACTACTACAACTACTACTGTTTGGTGTGTAGTGGCGCCTGAGCAACGTTTATGTGTACATTTCATGGAACTATATAGGAAAGAAAGAAGTTGTCATTTGATTAGGCATTGAGTAATACTTTAGTGTTTGTCACATGCAATAAAATTTGATACTTTTGACACTTGAAATTACATAGTTAACTGAATTCGTTGTGACAGTATAGTTTTGATAGTGGGAGCTATTATAGTTTAATCTTTTTTCTGAATAATTATAAGTATACAGTTAGACCCCTGCAAATAATTCTTTTGTTGATAGATTCCAGATTTGGTACATGGGGAAAAGTTACAAAAATTCCATAATGCTTGCTTATCTTTCATTTATTTAAAATACAATTTGAGTTAGATTTAGAAGGGCATTTATTTCCACAGAGTAGGGTTTAAAAAAAAAGATACTGGTACATCACAGAAATGGAATTAAGTTTGGTGTTACCTGGATCCTTCAACCAACAAATATTTGAGTATGTGAATGCGTCAGTTACTTTATCTCTAAAGTGAAAAAAAAAGTGATTGCTATTCAGAATGACCTGGTAATACATAATTTTTTCAGTAATTTCATTTTGTACTTTTTGGTACTGTGTCCTGTTTGGTGGAACTCTTCTTGAATTCTCTATCCTGAGGGATTTTGTTACTGAAAAGCAAAATTAATCTTTTTAATGCAGTTTTATGACATGGACCTTAAGGATAGGTTTTGTGACAGCTTTACTATAATAGAAACTAGGAGTAGGATTATTTTTTAAATTACACAGTAATAAACCCTAAAACATGGTGGGTTAAAGTGATGTCTTTCACAAATGTTTGATTAAAAAGAGACAAATGAGTTACTAGCTACTCTGTGAAGCAGCGCTTCAAGATTATAATGCCTACACACAAGCCTCAGTGGTTCAAAAGCCAGTCCTAGTGGGAGAAGGGATTGGGAGAAGTCGGTTCTGGAAAGGTGGAGGTAATAGTGGCAGTAATACAGTTTTTTAGGGTCTGAATCCTCACATGTAACCGAAAGAGAAACTACGTAGCAAAATTTAACATCATGAAACAGTTACACTTTGTAACATGGTATCTCTATGGTACTTTAGGGTCAAATATTACTGGATACTTTAGGATCAAAATACTAAGGGATAAAGGCAAACTGCCAACAGCTTGTAGATTCATTCACCATTATGCAAGACAATGAAAGAAGCAATGGGGAAACTTCTGGTGGATCTAAGAACAGGGAAACTCCACGATAGCTAAAACAATATTCACCAAAATATTCAAGAAGCCAGTTAGATAGCAGAAACTGAAGCTTACTCTCTTTAGGATTAACTAAGTGAAGGGTCTGCTGTAAGGAAAACCATAGAAGCCAAAGCAATATACCTCCAATAAACTCTAAAAACTGCCTTGCCAAGATGCTCTTCTGAGCCAAGCCCAGGAGAAACTGCTTGGAATAGAATCAAAATTTATCATCACTAATGGAGCAATAGGGACAAAAGAGAAAATCCAGATAAAAGCTAGAGGTAGTTAGAGTCAGGAAAGCTTAAAAACAACAACAACAACAACAAAAAATGGTATTTTTAAACACTACCCAAAAATCGAAGAAGAGGAAGCTTTGTGAAGTTAAAGCTTTCCTGAATGACTATTCATTCTTTTTTTTTTTTTTTTTTTTTTTTTTT